CCTGGTGGCCGGGCACTGTCCTGTTCACCTCTCCTGGAGGCCGGGCACTGTCCTGTTCACCTCACCAGGTGGTGGCTGTGTTATAGCACCCTGTGTAGCTGAGAATGTACTTTCCAAGATGTTTCTTATATACAAACACTGAGCTGTATGGTATTCCTAAGTGTTAATCGAATATCTTGTGTCAGACTTGGTCGTGTGTTATTTTTCAGTTTCTAGTAGATTGGTGAAGTAAAACAAAGCTTTATTATAATCTAGATAATCACTAAAGAGATCGAAGCCAATGAGTGGAAGAAAAAGTATGAAGAGACCCGGGAAGAAGTCCTGGAGATGAGGTCAGTCTGGTGCTGGGGTGGGCGTGGTTGCACACACCTTTAATTCCAGCACTCTAGAGGCTGAGGCAGAAGCTGATGATCTCTGCGTCTGAGCCCAGCCTACTTTACTTACCAAGTTCTAGGATAGCTAGGCTACAGAGAAAGGCCCTGTCTCAAAAAAGGAAAGGAAGAAGTCAGAGCTAGTATTGACTATTTTCTTCAAATACCATAGTTTCAAGGGTTATTTATAGCATCATATGTGAATAGAACTTATATAATTCTTGCCTTTTTAAAAGAACAGAAGTCTATTTTAAAAATATCCATTTATAATAAAGAGTAATAAAACTTACTGGTACAGTCAATGACAGAGGTATTGAAATTAGTAAAAGACAAAATTAATGGGCTTTAAATAAAAATCTTTTAGCCATGGTGGTGATGATGGTGGGGGCTTTCAAATTCCTGGAACCCCAGCACTCTGGAGACTGGGGCAAGAGGACTTCCCCAAGTTTGAGGTCAGCCTGAGCCCCACAACAAATTCCAGACCAGTTGGGGCCCCAAAGAAAAAGGAAGTATTTTTTTCTTTTCCTGTCCAGTTTAGAAATTTAGGAGTCATTATGTTACTAAAGATAACCTCAAAGAAGAGGAGAAAGCATAAACCTCACCAGCGAGCCCTGGAGTGCTGACAAGACATTTTAAACATGGCTGCTGTAATTTGTGGTTCTTGTTTTATTTGGTTTGGGAGGACTTCCTGGCCCCAGCTTTAGTGGGCTTACCATGGCCACCATAAGGACTTTGGATGCAGAGTCCAGCTTGGCGGGCTCACCACTAAGGGGCAGCTGCAGGGAGATTGCCCGGCACTGGGTCGGTCAGAAGAACCAGGCTTCACTGAGTGAAAGGCCAACTCGAGGGCGTGCTCTTCATTCTCGGAATAAGTGAAATATTTGTGCAGTTGGACATAAGATAAAACTTGAAACTGAATTGGAGAACAGTGCTTAAAAGGCAATGGGCCAGGAAAGATGGAGTCAGGGTGGATCTCATAGTAGGAGCTCTGAGGAGTGTCTTTAATTCAAAAAGATTGTCTTACAGTATTTAAATAGAAAAAATGAAGATGGTTGTTTTAATAAAAGACTGAAAGAGACATGCGTGTGTATACCTTTAATCCCAGAACTCAGGCAGAGTCAGGTGGATCTCTGTGAGCTCGAGGCTAGCCTGGTCTACAGAGTGAGTTCCAGGGCAGTCAGAGCTGTTACACAGAGAAACCTGTCCCGAAAAAAGCAAAACAAAACAAAAACAAGAAGACTAAAAGGCTTCTGTCTTAGCTGGCTTTCAGTTGCTATGAAAAACACCATGGCCAAAAGCAGCTTGGGGGTGCGAAGGGTTTCAGCTTATACTTTCAGGTCATAGCCATCAAGGGGAGTCGGAGCAGGAACCAAGGCAGGAATGCTCCTTCTGCATTAAGCTAGCTTTCTTATAGAACCAAACCACCTGCTGAGGGATGGCAGGGTGCTTTCCGTGGATTGGGCCCTCCCACATCAATCAAGAGAACTACTGAGGGGTCAAGGGTCAGTGTGATCAAGATAATTTTTCAGTTGAGATTCTCTCTTGTCAGGTGACAATAAAAAAATAACCAGGACAGTTTATTAAACACAAAGTGTCAAAAGCTTTTGAAGTTCAGGATGTGGTCCAGCAGTAGAGCACATACTTAGCTTGTGTGGGACTAGGGCTCCGTTCCTAACACCCAAGACATAAGCTGTCTTCTTTCCATTTCTCTTCTTCCTTTTTATCTTGTACAGAGAACACTTAACCTTTCAGAACTTTAGTGAATCTAATGGATGTAAGAAAAAAAAAAAAAACAAAGAGGGGAGACAGAGCAGAGGTGTGGTTTTATACGTGTTATTAGATGTTTGTGAATTTATTTCAGACAGAATGTCTTTGACTTCCATTGCCTCTCTTCTGATAACAAAAACAAGTTTTATGTTATAATTACAACTTACTACTTTTTTTTCTTTTTAGAAAAATTGTGGCTGAATATGAAAAGACCATTGCCCAAATGATTGGTAAGGAGAAAGGTTTTTTGTGTGTTTGTTTTGTTTTCTGAGCATGGGCCCTAGAAGCTATCTGAGCCTGTCAGGTGCCACAGCAGTAGACAAACACGTGTTTTTACAGTTTTGGAATCTGTGGAGTCAAAGCCAAGGCTGTGACTGTGTCTGGAAGAACCCCTTCCCCTTCCCTTCCCCTTGCGCCTTCCTGCACGATCATTCGGTCATCCTGGAGGAGACAGCCAGCTTTCTGAAGCCTTGTTTTCTTTCTTTCTTTTTAAAGATAGGATTTATTTTTTATTTGTGTGTACACACACACACACACACCTGCCTGAGTTTATGTGTACCAGGTACCCATGGAAACCACAAGAGGATTTCAGATCATCTGGAACTGGAGTTTCAGGTGGTTGTGTGCTGCCTAACATGGATACTAGGAGCTGAACCCGGATCCTCCACAAAAGCCATGCATGCTCTTAACTGCTCAGCCGTCTCTCCAGACTCCCTTTGGCTTTTTCCTGCCTGGCTACTGGCCAATCGGCGTTTATTTAAAATCTAATTGACAGGATCCAGACCACTGTCGCACAGCACCGTGTGACAGTTGTACATATTGTGGGGAACAGTTGTACATGAATCCAGTGGCCAGTGATTAAGCTATTATAGCTAGCATTTCCATTTCCTTAAACATTTATTATTTCAAGGCAGGTGCATAGCATCCCCACACTCAGGAGGCAGAGTTCATAGCTGGTCTGGCCTTTAGAGTGAGTTCCAGGCCGACAGTACTACGCAGAGAGGCCTGTCCTTTTTTTTTAAAAAAAAAGGGGGGGGGGGAATGTTTGTCATTTCTTTGGGAACATTCAAATTCCTATGTACTTTCTAATTTTCTATAAATTAAATGCCAAGTTCTTATAGGTGGATGCCATCCTACTTTGTTATAGAACACTCGGACTTGCTCAGTCTGGTGCTCACTGCCCACCCTTCCTCTGTTCATCTCCCAGCCCACCTTTCCCATCCTCTAGTGACTGCTATTCTGACTGCTACACCTATAGGATCACCTCTTTCAGCCTCCACATATGCTGAGAATATATAGTGTTTTGCTTCCTGTGCCTGGCTTTTTTAATACGATATTCTCTGAGCTGGGCTTTCTTTTCTATGGGGACCAATCCAGTCTGTTCTCATGACTTGCTGCTGTGTTTTCTCACCACTGTGACCAAATCCATGATTATAAACAGAAGAGAAAGGACTTATTTTGGCTCATGGTTTCAGAGAGTTCAGTCTGCAGTCACTGGGTCCCATATGGTTGGACAGAACACATGTGTTGGGGGGAGTATGTGGCCAAGCAGAGAGCAGAGAGAAGCAAGAAGGAGGTCTGGCAAAGACACACCCTAGGGCAGCCTTGAACTCACTGTGTAGCCCAGGCTGGCTTTGAACTCGGTGTTTCTAGGTCAGTATCCCAAGTATTGGCATGGCAAGTATGTGCCTTTGCACTCAGTGAGTCTTTAGTCTGCAGGTTCTGATTTCCCTCCCTGGGACCCGGCACAGAGAGCATATGCAGAGACACTGTGACTTAATTGTCCGTATGGAACTTCCAGCCTCACTTAGCTGCCAGCCTACGGCTTGACTCTCCATGAATCTATTCTGACCTTCTAGCATTTAAGTACTGAAAAGGTTTCCCCACTGTCCACATCAGCAGCTGCCTTCCCAGCCTAACCTTGGCCCTGGCTGTCAGCTCTGTGCGGCTCCCATCCCCAGTCCCTTCTGGGTACCTGCTCCAGTCTCTGCCCTGAGAGGCCACTCTGTGAACACCAGCTCTGTCCCCACGTGGCACATCCTGCTTGTCTCCCCGTCACTTGTCACTGTGTGTCCTCCCTCTAGAACAGGAGTTCGGGAGCATGGGGACACCTAGGCCATGCCCCCTTTTCCAAGAGCGTTGCTTGGCTCACCCAGAGTCGGCGTTCACTTTGTCTCCTTTGACTTGTGGTTCTCAGAAGACGAGCAGAGGACAAACATGACCTCTCAGAAGAGTTTCCAGCAGCTGACGATGGAGAAGGAGCAGGCCCTGGCTGACCTGAACTCTGTGGAAAGGTCCCTTTCTGATCTCTTCAGGAGATACGAGAACCTGAAAGGCGTGCTAGAAGGGTTCAAGAAGGTAGGTGTCCTTCCGCCTTGTCTCCTGGGTGGCTGTGTGGTGGCTTAGTAACAGGCAGTTTCTGCTGTCAGGGTGGTGGACAAGCTGAGGCTTGGGCTCCTTGGTCATTTGCCTTGATGGTAGTAAAAGTGGAAGAGATTTACAAAGCAATATAAGTTAGGACATGGAGAAGTCTGTAGGCTTTCTTTAGTGGGGGTGCACAAGCCTGCTGAAGTTGCCATGGACTATGAATCAAATACATCTCAATTAAGCAGACTTTCCTATAAAAACAAAACAAAACAAAACAAAAAACCAACCCTTGTGATACACTGTGCAAGAGAAACAAAGAGACATTCATGTTCGTTTTGAATTTTCCCTTTGGAACAGAATGAAGAAGCCTTGAAAAAATGTGCTCAGGATTACCTGGCTAGGGTTAAGCAGGAAGAGCAGCGATACCAGGCCCTGAAGATTCACGCAGAGGAAAAGCTGGACAGGTAAGAGCTTGTGAATGTGCGCTGCACCTGCCTACTGCTGCAGGTGGAGGCAGACAGTTTGTCTACAGAGAACAAGGTGTACCTTTTACTATCTGCGTTCTTGCTTGTGTGTGTGTGTGTGTGTGTGTGTGTGTGTGTGTGAGAGAGAGAGAGAGAGAGAGAGAGAGAGAGATTTTATTCCTCTGGTTAGAGTATAAAAAGCTGTGCACACACAGCATCCATCCCCTCTGTTTCTCACCACTTAACCTTTAGCCCATTAGTGTTGGCATGTTGTGGTTTTCCTCGGATGTACATGCTAAGCCCCTTAGTTTATCTGTGCTCACGAGGACCTTCCCCCTGGCATTTCACTGTTGGAAGGTCTCCGTTTAGACAGCTGCTCCTGCTGGACATCGTGGTCTTTAAACTCATCCTGGTGCAGAAGTGCCATAGCAAGCAGCGCTGTAGACTGTTCCTTCGTGATAGATGAGGAACTGGGGTCCAGCAAGTGTGGAGTGATGATAATTGTAAAGACTGACCAGTTGTCCTCACTAGACATACAATGAATGACACCCAACATTGTATGATCAAGTGCAGAGTAATCCAGGCCACCATCGTACTGGATCATTTAAAAGTTAGGATTGATATGAAAAATTAAGTAATGTCACTTTCTCATGAAGTATAACTTTGGAAGTATGTTGAAGTATATTGAAGTATTCTGCTGTCAGGTGTGCCATGGAAATGTGCTTAGCAGTTTTATATAAAGCACATTTTGTAAGTCATTGTTTCTGGGTTTTCCTCTCAGTTCTTTGGAATCTGGGTTTTGTGGAAGTCAGTAGTCAGTACCCTGAGTCTGTTCCTCGTGGCTAACCGTGCTCTTCTGATTTCTCCCGCAAACAAACCCAATTCTCCACCACAGAGCCAACGAAGAGATCGCTCAGGTTCGCTCAAAGGCAAAGGCTGAGAGCGCAGCTCTCCATGCTGGGCTCCGGAAAGAGCAGATGAAGGTGGAGTCCCTGGAAAGGGCCCTTCAGCAGAAGGTACGCGGGTCTGTCTCAGGGGTCTTCTAGCTGATACAGAGGCATGGGCTGCTCTCCTCTGTGGCTTATGTCAGTCCTTGGTGTACATAGCTTGACATGGGTCTGGAGGAAGGTGGCTTTTTCCTTCTTACACAGACACTCCAGGCCAGCTCCTTTATGAACAGATTTGGGGGACACACATTATTAACCAAGGCTACGGGGAGTCATCAGACACAGGCAGGGTTCTGGGGGGGAAGTTGTGTTTTAAGTGAAGTTCAGGGGCTGTAGCTCATCAGTTTTCAGAGCAGATGTGCCCTGCAGGGACACGAGGACATGTCTGGTGGCTGGGAGATGCTAGTAGCCCCAGAGTGGGTGAGAGGCCAGCAATGCTGCCAAGCGTCCTATAATGGACAGGATATAGCCCAGATCAAATCTCAGCAACATAATGGATTCGGAGAAACTGCCATGAAGAAATTGAAAGCAGAAATAATGTCGCCAGGCTCAAGACTGGCTGCCTGCCTTTGGACATGCCAGTGAAGCAGAGAGACAAGGTAGAAGGCTGCATGAGAAGGTGGAGGGCTCTTGTCCAAGCCGAGTTGGGTGTGCTTTATAGAGACAGGAGTTGGGGATTCCAGTCAGACGCCTGCATCTCTCAAGCCTGCCTGCCACGCCTGCCTCCCTCACGCCTGCCTTTCACGCCTGCCACTCACACACCTGCCTCCCTCACGCCTGCCTGACTGGGCTTGGTGGTGCATCCTTGATCCTAACCCCCATCTCAGGATGCTTTTCAGTTCTACACATTACCTCCTCGGAGTATTCGTGTCAACACTTGCCCCCTTGGAGTTGCATATACACCCTGGGTGAGCTGGAAGGGCAGCTGCTCCAGGCCCTCTTGCTGATCCCTCTCACTATCCTGAGAGGAGACCTCGATGCTCAGTCTCTGTGGCACCAGTTGTATTTCTCATGCTCGGCGGGTTTTGGCCTTGCTCTTTCTTCTTCGCTGTTGAACTTGCTGCATCGCCACGTGTGCATTCGTGCAATGATGCAAACTTACTGCATTGCCACACGTGCATTCCTGCAGTGATGCGAACTCACTGCATTGCCACGTGTGCATTTGTGTAGTGATACGAACTCACTACATCATCACGTGTCCATTCATGCAGTGGTGCTAACTCGCTGCATCACCACGTGTGCATTCATGCAATGGTGCAAACTCACTACATTGCCACGTGCATTTGAGCAGTGGTGCAAGCTCGCTGCGTCGCCATGTGTGCATTCGTGCAGTGGTGCCCTTTGACTTAGAGCTTGTGTCTGGCCACCCTGACTCGGACTCTGGAATCCCAGTCCCTGAAGCTCTTGGTGGGTAAAGCGAAATCCACGACCTTGTGTTTTAGCCTGCAAGCCACTCAACAAAAGAATCGGAAGCTAAGGTTTATGGGCTGACTTCAGGAGGGTCGATGGCTCTCCCCACCCTCAGCACAGTTAGTGCAGTACTGGGAACACACTTTGATGGATGGAAGACATTTGGTCCTCAACCTCGGAGGACTGATGCAGGGGTGGAGAGGCACTAGGATGTCTGGGGCTCGTCTAGCCACCGGCTTTTCTCTCAGAACACAAAGCAGCCTGCAGATCATATCCTCTCTCTTTCAGAATCAAGAAATTGAAGAACTGACGAAAATCTGTGATGAGCTCATCGCAAAGCTGGGAAAGACTGACTGAGATTCCTCCCGTGAGCTGCGCAGATCCGAGTCTGGCTGCTTGTGTCGTGACCACAGTTATCTTGCCTTATCCAGAAGTAATCCCTCCTTTGCAGAGAAAAATAACTTTTTAAAAAGCACATGCCTGCTGCTGCCTGTCCCGCTGCACCCCACTGCTGCAGCCGGAGCCTGGCTGGTGGGGAAGGAGCTGACGTGCCAGCAGGGGCCTGTGCACCCAGGCTGCCGCTTCTGCTAGACGGGCTGCTGGGTCCAGCGCGTGCTTCTCCATCTGCAGTTCATCTTTACTTTTCTCGAGTGTGTGAAATTTCTAATTTTGTGGCAACCGTGTGGGGTTATCTTCCCAGCACATATTTGATATTTTTATGACCCGGTTAACAGTTTAAATTTCAGTATCGGCCGTTTTATTGAAGGAGACAGTTTGGCCCTGTTGCCACTAACAGTTTCTCAATGAGACTTGAGTTCCCTTTTATTTCCAGAATTTCACTTATGCGTATATATGTGTACCTGCTGCCACTTTCCCCCTGAGGCATGTTCAGATAAGGATTTTTCGGGAGGAGCATAGTTACGTAAATCAACACAGATCAGATCCTAAGCAGAGCCCTAGGTCTAAAAGCCAGCTTCAGACTTTGTAGGGCTGAAAACACTGCACCGCTGCTTTGAGTGTTTCCCATTCACAGAGCCCTGGGTTCGATCCCCAGAACTACAGAAACTGGATGCTGTAGCGCATGCCTGTAATTCCAGCACTCCAGAAGCGGGGGCAGGAGGATCAGAAATTCAAGGTCATCCTCAACTACATAGCTACTTGGAGACCAGCCTGGACTGTATGAGACCGTGTTTCAAAAAAGGGGTGAGCGGAAGCATGGTGACAGCTTAGCTGTTGGGAGGGCAGGGCAAGAAAGCCGTTGGGGCCTGGAATAAAAAGGCAGCACAGCACTAGGCAGAATAGACCTTTTCTCAGAAATCAAATGCCCAAACCAAAATTTGAGTCAGGGTGGAGAGATTGGGGATGTGAAGATCAGGGATGTAGGTTTCATGTCCAAGGAAGACTTTGCTGTGCTGTTTATTGCCCCAGTGTATGGACCCTTGGGTCCCAGCATGGCCCCTTGCGCTCAGACTGAAAGTGGCCTCTTATATCTCCATGAGCAACAGCCTGGGCCTCCCCAGATCTCTCATCTGATGGATGTGTCCACCTGGGGCAGTTGGTCTCTAAAACAAAATCAGCTGTTATCTATTTGAAATATATACAAAAGGGGCTTGGGAAAGGGTCAGCTGGTTTTGTTAAAAGAGAGGGCAGCCTAGGGACCAGTTTGGGGTGAAGGGCTGTGGTTTTCTGTGTTTACAAGCATGGCACACTTCAGAGACTTTAAAACAACACACATTTTCATGCTGGAGGTGGACTTTAAAGCCAAACAGGCAGTAAAACGTCATCCCCCAAGTCGGCTTGAATGCGGGGGAGGGCAGTGCAGCGAGAAGGTCCACACAGACAAAATGAAATTCTATAAACACAGACTGGGGGATGTTAACCCCCAAACAGAAATTTCCCACACTGCTGTCAGTGAGTTCCTTTCCATTTGACAGGCAAAACCAGATCCATTCAAGTTTTAATGCATTTTTTGGCCTTCATCATCTACCGTGAGTCATCATGGTGGATATGCACTATTCAGTGCACACACGTTTTCCTCCTTGTCAAACTATTGCAGGAGCCGACTTCAGAAATGAATTATGCCTCATGGAGAAACTGTAGGTCTTAGAAACAATGTCCCTTTAGTGGCGTGTCACCATGCGGGTGCCAGCTATAGCCCCAGGGAGCGAGCAGTGTCTTCTGAAGCTAGAAGTCACATTTTGTCAGTGTGTGTTTATTAGAACTGGTGCTTAGGTTAGGCTGTATTTTGAGGCCTACTGTCTTAACATTTTGTACAAAACCATGAACAAGTAGAAGTTACCTGTGGTTGAAGGAATGGCTTGACAATCATTTAGTCACAGTGGCTTCATGTGAAGGCTGTAGCCATAGACTTATTATTGTCGGGTTCAAGTGTCTTCCGGGGACACAACTGACGTCAGCTTAACTCTCTTCCACAAGGGAAGTTAACTTTGTATTTCAGGAAACACTGCAGAAGTTTCTGCCACAGTGTAATGGTGGCGTCCATGTGTGATTGGTATTGAGGGTTTTTTTGTTTGTTTTATTTTTTTGTTTTGTTTTTTTTTTTCAGTATGAAAGGCTTAGAGTGGTCTCCATCATAAATTTTTTTTGGTAGTGCTGGGGATTGTACCCAGGGTCTTGAACATCTTAGCTAGGCGAGTGCTTTACTGTGGAGCTGCATCTCTGGCCCCAGTCATCTTTGTAAGCCTGTGTAATTTTAAAGCACCCTTTGCTGTGTGTTACAAAGCATAGAAGAGGCGTGGTGACTGTCCTTCCCTGCCACACTGGCGGAAGAGACCCCTTGAAAAGCAGGCCATGCTAGATGAGGTTGCTGTACAGGGACATGAAATAGCTCTGTAAGCAACGTCTGCCAGTGGCCTCTTAGTCATCACCATTGCCAGGAAATTTCTGCAACGTCTAGCTTGTGGATACTCTCCAACAAGAATAAAAATGTCGCTTGCACAGCTGGAAAATTAAGAACATATACTAGGCAGAGGGGAGAATATTTATTTTTCTTTTAATTAAATGAGCCCTAAAAATTTCTTAGCACTCTAGAGTAAAAATACAAAGTTTCCTTCAACACATGCTGGGGGGCCAAATGCTTGCTTGTTAGGCAATTAAAAAGGGGGACCAGGCCTGGTGGCACACGCCTATAATCCTGGCTTTCTGGTGGCAGAGGCAGGGACCAAAAGTTCAGGCCTGACTGGGCTATACAATGAGATCCTGTCTTCAATGATTTAAGAGCTGCTACTCAGCAGTAGCATTTTTTTTACTTACCACACACAAGGCATTTGTGTGCAACCCCAGCATTGTAAAAATAAATAACAAAAACCCTAAAACACAAGGGAAGTAGAAGCTACTGACTCAGAAAGTGGTTTGGGAGCATTAGGTGAACCTGTTGAGACTCTCAGCATAGACCCATCTTTCTAGTTCCTCTTTGTCAAAGTGTCGACAGCTGTTACCTGTCAGTATCCCAGACCGGGTTACCGTGTGCTTACCCTGTTTGGAGACTGGTAACTTCCCCAGATTTTGTATTCTCTGCTTGGTGCCCTCGTGTGGAGTCTAGCATCTTCAGAAGCAGACCAAATTAGGAAGCGCTCAGCGCAGAGCTCTCTCCGGAGGGTGGTCCCTGTCGCTTAGGATTAGAGTTCAGGCTCAACTTCCTTCCCAGCCATAGCCTGCTTTCTCCCTGTGCAGACTTGGCACTGCCCGTGCGCAGATCGTTCACCAGGCAGCCCTGGATGGACCACAGTAGAGCAAAGCCCTCACCTGCAGCCAAGATAGCTCAGGCTAGGCAGGGCCCTCTGCAGCTCCTCGGCATCAGGAGCCGCGACAGAGTTCAGGGCGCACCAAGCTGAAAGTGGTGTGGACCGTCTGTAGCTCCTTTCCTTAGTCTCTATTTCATTCTGTGGTCTTTCGACTTGGTCGTTCCTGCTGTCTCTCTGTAGCTCTGTGACCCTCTGAGCCTGCTCTCAGGTTGCTTTTCTTCTTGAGACAAGAGAATGTAGGTGTTGAAAGAGTCGATGATTCAAGCAAGGAATTTGAAAATGTATATATTATGAAGATTTTTAAGGGTAGGAGATTATTATTTACTTACTAAAGAACAGATAAAGTCTGGGAATCCCAGGGTACCAAGCCAAAGGTCTGGGACATCATCTTTCAAAAAGTTTTAATAACAGAGTTATTTAAAGGAAGCTAATGTTCAGAAAGGTTTGACTGGCCTCCAGATTCCAGTTATTTAAAAAAAAAAAAAGCAATTTACTAGGGCTGGGGGTGTAGCTCAGTTGGTGACACACTTGCTCAGCATGCTCAAGTCCTTGGATTTCATCCCTAGTGCTGGGGAAAAAGCATTCACTACTAAATTCTTCAGGGTCCCATATGGATAAGAAAGGGAAACAAATGTCTAGAAACAGCGCGTCTCCCTCTTGGTTCTCTCCCGAACCAGCACAGAACACAGGCAAGCACTTGGCACTGCAGAGACTACAGATTACACTTCTGGTAGTTTCCAGCCAAACGCAGCCCCCTCTCTGTGCCTGTCAGCCTGCAGTCAGATCTGGACAAATAAGATTCCTGAGGAAAGACTTTAACTGTACTGTGGTTTCAGCTTTATGTAAACACATAGGTTCCCGTTATAGTTCCAGTATGGAGATGCTGCTGCAGTGCTGGCCTTCGGTAGTCTGTATGATGTTCTCACTGCTCAGAGCAAGCCAAGCATGGGGCTGAGGTATGGCCTGAACCTTCCCTGTATGGGGTCATGTATGTCAAGATGCTACTTTGGCCCTCTGCCTTTTTGTGGTATCTGAATATACCCAACAAAAGTGCTTCCTCTTCACACAACTGACTCGATATTTGTGAATAATTTTCAAATGGACACAGAAATTTAAACTCTGAAACCACATCCGATCCAGATACAGGGCAGCGTCTAGGTCACCCCTGCAGCCTCAGCTTCGTCCTTTGCAACCCTTGGGACAGGATTCAGTCATCCTGAAGTCCCCAAGGCAGTGGTCAGCTTTCCAGTATCGCTGTTAGCGAGTCTGTATTTGCCAGTAGATGCTCACTGTACTAACGTGCCAAGTGTTTATTGCACATCTGCTCCCATCATGTCCCCCGGTGCCCTAAAGTGTGTGAGGAGCCCCTAACTGGGTGGGTGGGGCACCTGCTGCATTGTCTCCTGTTGTCAGGACTGTGTTGTATGGAATAATCATCCCCATAGATTTTATACACATAGTAATTTCCCTTTTTATATGTCAGGTAAATATTTGTAAAGGTTATACTCACACAAAAGAATTATTATGATAATTACTAATATATTTTTTCCATGTTTCATTGCCTGAATAAAAACTGTTTACCACTGTTAAATCTGAGGTGTGTCTTCCTGGTTGTCAGTTGATTTATCCTTGAGTATTTCTGGTAGCCTCTCATGGGTTCCATATTTCTGTCTGAAAATAGATGACATTTTCCTCTGCTCGTTTCCTGGGGCTTCATGCATTTCACTGGGCATGTAATTGAAAACAAAACAAGCTCCGGAATTCTGACCCCGCCACAGAAACCACCATGACGGCGTCTGTGCAAACAGATTTTTGCTGAGTGCTCCTCGGTGTCGCTTAGAGACTAGTCCATTCTGACATTTCAACTCCCCCAGAAGCCAAGTTACTCCGAGCTTTCCACCTTGCTGAAGGCCCCGGGGTGAGCTGGAGCTGTGGAGAGCACAGCTGGTGCGCTGTGTGTTTTCTAGGTTAGTACAGGAAAAATGTGAGTGTCGGTTGGACCAGCTCTCTGGCTAGGGTGGGCCAGGGCAGAGCTGGAAGAGAGCAGTGGATACTCAAGACCTCTTTTTACAATTTAGCTGAGGGATGAGGAAGTCAGGGTGCTTTATTTGCTTAATGTGAATCTCTGCAGCCTGTGATGGTCCTGGTCCTGGTTTGGGGGACAGGGTACCAATTTGTTCTGACTGCAGAGGGCATCCTACAACAGATCTCATTTTTTAAAAATATTTATTTCATATGTATACAATATTCTGTCTGTGTGTATGCCTGCAGGCCAGAAGAGAGCACCAGACCCCATTACAGATGGTTGTGAGCCACCATGTGGTTGCTGGGAATTGAACTCAGGACCTTTGGAAGCGCACGCAATGCTCCTAACCTCTGAGCCATCTCTCCAGCCTCCTGATCTCATTTTCTTAGCATTGTTGACGAAGTAAGATGAAAATTGACCTTAGATAAGACTGTCCAAGATAAGACCATCTTGATTTCAATCAACAACAGGAACCAGGCAGTGGTGGTACATGCTTTTAATCCCAGTGCTCAGGAGTCAGGCAGGTGAATCCCTGGGAGTTCAAGGGCCAGCCTGGTGGTATACATACAAAGTTCCAGGACAGCCAGAGCTACACAGAGAAACTCTCAGACAGTTTCGCCTAGTGTAAAGCTTTGGCATGAAAGGTTGAAGTAAAGGTTCTAGCTTTGCTTGGGGCAACAGGTAGGCCCCTAATGCCCTCATTTAGATGGGGAATGCTAGAAGTGAGATGAGGTCTGACTTTATAAGTTTCCCTCATAGAAGTGCTGCCTATGAGGCTTGAGATGTATGTACTAAAGCAGATGTTCTGGAAGCCAGTGAGTCCACATATTGCCATTGATTTACATTATTTAGAAAGATGGAATTGCCAGCCCATGTCACAGCGAAGGAAGAATCGGGCCTTAGATCCCAAACCCACATCCAAGTCCAGGCTAGATAGCTTGCTCTACATATTTGAATGCTTGGTCACCAGAGAGGGTGCTATTGAAAGGATTAGAAGGATTAAGAGACATGGCCTTGTTGGAGGAAGTTTGTCACTGTGGGTGGGGCTTTGAGGTTTCAAATGCCTCTGCCAGACCAGAGTGTCTCTCTCTGCCTGCAGATGAGGATGTAGCTCTCAGTTACTGCTCTGGTACTGTGTCTGCCTACTGCCATGCTTGATGCAAATGGACTAAACCTCTGAACCTGTAAGCCTGTCTCCGATTAGATGCCTTCTCTTCTAAGTTACCTTGGTCATGATGTCAGCAATAGAACAGTGGCTAATAAAGGGTATGTTGTCTTCGTGTGTGTCTGTGTTGCTTATGGGTGCTGTAGGAGCACCTTAGACGAGTTACAAGTGGCTATGGGTCACTGTAGGTGCTGGGAGTTGAACCTGGGTCCTCTGGAAGAACAGTCAGTTGTCTGGACATTCTCTCCAGCCCCAGACTGCTTTAGTTTAGACCTTCCTTGGTTCTTGTTCTTCATCAAGTGATGAAGAAACTAGGGTCATGTTCTCCTCAGTTCTCTCCCAAGGAGCGAATGCCATTCCAACTGCCCGTACCAACACTGCTATGATTACAGTAGGCACTGACTGTTTCCCTGAGAGAAGCCCCTGAGGGCCAAGCTACATTTCCCACATATCAGATGTACGGAGTTCTTAAGACAGAAACACAGCACATGCATTCTGCAGTAAGACTGTGGAGTTGGGCATTTTTGTTCTAGACGTCGGAAATGACAGGTAAGTTGGTTCTTGTAAGTGCAGTTAGCTGGTGGGATGCACACAGGAAGAGGTGTGAGATGAAGAGTTAACTTCCAGACAGGCTCCTGCTGTGAGGTTCAATATGAAACGCACCTCTCGTTGGAAAGGGCACCACTTCCATTGTCTTGCTTGAAATTTAGATTTTTTTCCCCAGGCACTTTGTTTTTGTTTTACTTTGTGTGAATGATACAGGTCACAACGTTGTGCATGTTTGGAAGTTAAAGGATACCTTCAGGAGTCTTCCACCATGTGCATCCTGGGGACCAAAATAAAATCCTTAGTCTTGGGAGAAAGCACCATCACCTACTGAGCCAGCTTCCCAGTTAATTTTTCTAAAGTAACGAATCTTTCTTCAACCTCCCTCCCCATCTTTCTTTCTCTTTCTTCCTTTCTTCCTTTCTTCCTTTCTTCCTTCCTTCCTTCCTTCCTTCCTTTCTCTCTTTCTCTCTTTCTTTTTTTCTTTTTTTCATGACAGGGTTTCTCTGTTTAACAGCCCTGGCTGTCCTGAGACTCGGTTTGTATACCAGGCTGGTATATAAGCTCACAGAGTGAAGTCGTGTGCCACCATACCCAGCCTTAGAGTCGCCTGTTTTCAACCAAAACTCTGTAGAATGTTTTACACATAGCATCCGCCTCAGTGCAGACATGATAATGGCCACTGGGTGGTGTCATTCCCAAAGTTTTCAAACTGCAGCTCAAAACCTATTTTTTTTAACATTCTTTTTTTTAATTAATTTATAAAATTTCCACTTCCGCCCCTCCTCCCAATACCCTCCCATTCCCCCCACTCCCTCTCCTCCTCCCTCTCCAGCCCTAAGAGCAGTCAGGGTTTCCTGCCCTGTGGGAAGTTCAAGTTCCTCCCCCCTCCCTCCAGGTCTAGGAAGGTGAGCATCCAAACAGACTAGGATCCCAAAAATCCAGTACATGCAGAGGAAACAAGTCCCAGTGCCATTATCAATGGCTGCTCAGACAGTCCCCGTGCCAGCCACATTCAGAGAATCCTGTTTGATCACGTGCTCGTTCAGTCCCAGTCCAGCTGGCCTTGGTGAGCTCTCATTAGATCAGTCCCCTTGTATCAGTGGGTGAACGCACTCCTCACGGTCCTGCCTTTCTTGTTCATGTTCTCCCTCCTTCTGCTCCTCATTTGGGCCTTGGGGGCTCAGTCCGGTGCTCCAATGTGGGTCTCTGTCTCAATCTACATCTATCGTCAGATGAAGGTTCCTTCTGATCCTGCCTTTCTTGCTCACGTTCTCCCTCCTTCTGCTTCTCATTTGGACCTAGGGAGTTAAGTCCAGTGTTCCAGTGTGCATCTCTGTCTCTATCTCCATCCATTGCCAGATGAAGGTTCTATGGTGATATGCAAAATATTCATCAGTATGGTTATGGGCCAAGGCCAGTTCAGGCACCCTCTCCTCTGCTGTCCAGGGAACAATCTGGGGATCTCTTCTTGGACCTGGGAACCCCTCTATAGAATCAAGGCTCTTGTAAACCCTAAAATGGCTCCCTTAGTTGAGATATATACTTCCCTGCTCCCATATCCATCCTTCCTCCCTCCCCCATCTCAATCCCCCAAGCTTTCCCCAAATCCTCCCCTACTCCCTTCTCTCTAACCCTCTCCCCTTTTATCCACCCCCCCCATGCACCCAAGTTTGCCTGGCACTCTTGTCTGCTTCCAATATCCAGGAGGATAACTGTATGATTTTCTTCAGCTTCACCTTCTTATTTAGCTTCTCTAGGATCACGAATAATAGGCTCAAAGACATTTAATTATGGCTAAAATCCACTTATGAACGAGTACATACCATATTCCTCTTTTTGGGTCTGGGTTACCTCACTCAGTGAAGCGTTTTCTATTTCCATCCATTTGCATGCAAAATTCAAGATGTCATTGTTTTTTACCGCTGAGTAAAACTCTAATGTATATATGTTCCACACCTTCTTTAACCATTCTTCTATTGAGGGGCACCTAGGTTGTTTCCAGGTTCTGGCTATTACAAATAGTGCTGCTATGAACATAGTTGAACAAATGCTTTTGTGGTATGATAGGGCATCTCTTGGGTATATTCCCAAGAGTGGAATTGCTGGGTCCTGAGGGAGGTTGACTCCCAGTTTCCTGAGAAACCGCCACACTGATTTCCACAGTGGCTGCACAAGTTTGCATTCCCACCAACAATGGATGAGTGTTCCCCTCATTCCACATCCTCTCCAGCATAGGCTATCATTGGTGTTTTTGAGTTTGGCTATTCTGACCGGTGTAAAATGGTATCTCATAGTTGTTTTGATTTGCATTTCCCTGATCGCTAAGGATGTTGAGCATGACCTTAAGTGTGTTTTGACCATTTGAAGTTCTTCTGTTGAGAATTCTCTGTTCAGATCAGTACCCCATTTTTTAATTGGGTTAATTAGAGTTTTAGTGTCTAGTTTCTTGAGTTCTTTGTATATTTTGGAGATCAGACCTTTGTTTGATGAGGGCTTGGTGAAGATCTTCTCCCAGTCAGAAGGTAGCCTTTTTGTCTTATTGACAGTGTCCTTTGCTTTACAGAAGTTTCTCAGTTTCAGGAGGTCCCATTTATTCATTGATTCTCTTATTGTCTGTGCTACTGGGATTCTACCTAAGAAGTGGTCTCCTGTTGCCTATGTCTTGTAGACTACTTCCCACTTTCTCTTCTATCTGGTTCAAAGTGGTCAGATTAATGTTGACGTCTTTAATCCATTTGGACTTGATTTTTGTGCATGGTGATATATATGGATCTACTTTCATTCTTCTTCAGGTTGACATCCAATTATGCCAGCACCATTTGTTAAAGATGCTTTCCTTCTTCCATTGCAT